GGCCCGAAACTGGGTCACCCGACGCAGGAACCGGGGATTATTGTGCGAAGATTCCGGATGACGGTGCGCCAGCTGCGGGACCTCCGTGAGGGTGTGTTCAGCACGGATCATCTTCGGACGCCACTCGCGGTTGTTCCGGCCCAACCCTTTTCGTGCCACAAAGCCGCCTAATGGAGAGATCGGCACCACCTCGGCCAGCGTCGTCTCCCAGGCTGAGAGTGGACCCTTTGTTGTCGCCTCCTCGGCGCGGCATTCGAGGGCGGGAGTGACTCGGCGCCGGGATGTGATGTCCGGCCGCTACTACGCTGTGGGCTTGTGCGTGCTAGTGGGCGGGGCCTGACCATTTGGGGAACGGCGTCCTGGCCTAGAGACGGAGGGAAGGGGGACCTTATAAAAAGAGCGGTTTTACGCGCTCTCGGTGTGTTCTCACGTTGTTCTCATGCCGTACGGCAGACTGTACATAAAATGTAAATAAACAGTTTGAGAAGAGACACCCTGGCTCGCTACCAACTCTGCCCGATGTCCTGGGCGACGCATGGCTCCAGCGGAGATCGACTACATGGACAAGTCCCGAGTCACAACAACTCCTAGTTCCGAACACGATTTGGTCGCTCGCTCCCCGCGGGGAGAGCGGCCAGAGTCACCACCTAAATGTATTTCTTCCACCGTGGTCGCGACCCAAGTAACTGAAGTCGGCCCAGCCCTACTGCGCACGCGCAGTAGTTGCTTCGTTTACCTCACGATAGATGGCGCTTGGCTCTCAGCATTATCAAATTTGGCAATTTTCGCCACACATCTCTAATTATGCTACAAAATGTGGATCTGAATATTATTTAAAAAAAACTTTTAGGAAACATTCGCCGGCTATTTATTGTTTACGATCGCGGTGCTGGTGAGGTAGGCTCTTACCCAATAGGCGACATGGATTTGGCTGACGTGCTCCATTTCCGCGGATGCATCGTAGTGAAAAGGCGAAGGAAAAAAGGCGCCAAAAGAGTCCAGTTTTCTTTTAAAAGTTCTATAGCAAATAATTTTTTTGGCTCCCTATTTTTGTGTTTTTGTTTTTCTTTTCACACCTTTTACGACGTGCGGTGGATGAAATTCGATTTTAAAATCATTTCATGGTCCCTTTAAAGGGGCAATAAAACGATTTTGCAACTGCTTTTTTTTAGCTGCAGTCCTCAACTCAAAAGCGAATTAAAAATCACGTGGTCGTGACATGCTACGGCACCGATGCGATGATCCCAAGCTTCCACCGTGCTTTTTAGGCGCACAATAGAACTTAGCATTCGCAAGTGATGATAAGTTCCGTTGCGGATTTGAAGCCAGCCCTGCAGCTTCAGTGCATCAGATGTCAGTGGTGGCACATGATGCATGATCACAAGACGGCAGCAGGGGGGATCGGTGGCCGGGGAGAAAGAAGAAGACGCCGTTCCGAACGGACGCGCTTTATGTTCTCTAAGGAAAATACACCGGCCACTGGCCGGGGAAATGCTGAGGCTTCGGCCAGTTCTTCGGAAACCATGACAACTGAATACCGGACCGTCTTACCTCGTCTACCCACAGGTAATTTGAGCCTAAACTCTGTTTTCCTGCATGGAGATCTTGCCGCGAGACCCTACCGCGCACCTGACTTCCGTGATGCCTTACGAGGAGTGGTTGAGGCTCAAGATATCATCGGAATCGGCCAATTCCAAATGAGCCACGTATGGATGGTAACTTGTACTAACGCTTTGGCGAAAGCCAAGCTCGTCAAAAAGGCCGAGCTCTGTGTGAAGGGACACAGATGCATAGTCATCGACCCAGACACCAGAGACGTTAAACTCAAGTTGTTGTGGCTGCCGGTCCACATGGAGAACAAGCGAATCGAAGAGGCGCTAGCGCCCTACGGTACGGTTCGTTCAATCGTTCGCGAGAAGTGGAGTTGCCCAGGGATGGAGCAAATGGAGACTTTAAACAAGGAAGTAACGTTAACACTCCGTGAAGGGATGAACAGCACCCAAATCCCGCACCAACTCACGGTTTTCGGCTGCCGAAGCCTCGTGATCGTTCCTGGTCGCCCTCCGCTGTGCCTCCGATGCAACCGAATCGGGCACATACGTCGAGAGTGCAGAACTCCTCAGTGCGGCGAATGCCGACGCTATGGACACTCTACAGACGAATGTGTATCGACATACGCCGAGAAGCTCCGACAGGTGAGAACCCCTCTTGATGACGTTGTTCAAGATCACCTAATGGACATCAGTGAGATGGTTGACGCTACAGGAGAAGTCCTCGATTCCATAGCACCAAGGACAGAACGGGAAACTGCTTCCCAAGAAGCACAAACGACCAATCCCGTCTCGCATGATGTCTCATCTGAGCCAATCAAAGAAGACTCTACGATAACCACTACAGCAACCGTGCGAAACTGGTCGGAAGACGAGTACCCCCTCTTGGAAATAACAGAGGAGCCGTCCTGCAGCCAACAGCAACTGCCTCGCCGGGAGCGTTCCACCACATCCAATGGAGCATCCGTCAAGAGACCCGCTCCTAGGGCTGAGTCGTCCCAGCCCTCTGGAATGGGTGCCAAGAAGGAGAGCAAGAACGACGAGGGACGAGAGGCAAAGCGCAAGCCAGCAGCGCTCCGAGAAGACCCTTACAGCGTGGCTCCACAGCCGGACAACGAGATGAAAGACAATGATGTTTTACCTACATAACGACTAGTAGCCCATGGCACGCCCCCCACTCAGCTTCGCTACCCTCAACGTCAGAGGACTGTGTTCACGTGCGCGACAGTCCCAAGTATATAGGCTCCTCTTAAAAGAACAGATAGACTTTGTTGCCATTCAGGAAACAAAGATATCGTCTGATGAGGACACCGCTCGAGCACTGGACCCTTTCCTCTTGACATACGAGGTATGTGTCAGTCATGCTGATGGCTTGTCGGGAGGGTGCTTTTTGTTTCTGAAAAAAAGCCTGGGTTATTCTTCACTGTCACATGTCGTTGGCGACAAAGGAAGGTTTATATGCTGTGATTTTCTGTTACGGGGTATTTTTTTTTCGTTTACTGTGTATTTACGCTTATAACGGCGAGCGAGAGAGACGTTTCTTCTTTGAAAATCTTGCCCCATTTCTTGATACAGACAAGCAGATTGTTTTGCTCGGAGACTTTAACTGTGTGTGTAACGTTAGCGACAGATCAGTGCCTTCTACAAGGCGTGATAGCAGTGCCGAAATTTTGAACAGTCTCATATCTGATTACTACCTTTTTGACGTTGGGGCTTCGCAAAACGTTTCTAATCGATTTACCCATCTTCATGCAACATGCAATACGAGACTGGATCGCATTTATGTATCAAGTCCCCTTTTTGCACAAGTGAGTGCCTACGACGTAAAGCCAGTTTCCTTTTCGGATCACTGCCTTGTAAGGGCGTGCATCGGTAGAGACGTACAACGCAAATCATCACCAAATTGGGCTTTATGGAAATTTAATACGAGACTATTAGAAGACAAAGAGTTTAGCAAGCGAGTTCGAGAACATTTTAATAAGGCGAGTACGAACCACCCATTCGGCATTTTTGCCCAGTGGGACTCGTTTAAACAAGAAATTAAGAATGAAGCAATTGAATGCTCGTGCATAACATCATTCCATGCAAAAAAAGACAAAAATCTTCTTTTACGCAACCTACAGACCCTCCACGAGCTAGAGTGTGAGACGCCTGGTCTGTTTCATGAAGAAATACTACGAGTGAAATGTCAGATACAAAGTCACGAACAAAAACGGTTCCATGGAGCACAAGTACGGTCTCGTTGTAGACGATTTCTATCCTCAGAGACACCCACTCGACGAGCACTTGACGATGAGACTCGAAATAGACAGTCAAAAAGAATACAACTTCTGAATTGTAGCGGGGCATTATCATCTGACGAACTTGACATCATGAATGCTTTTGAAACACACTACCAGAGCCTCTTCGGGCAAACGCAATCGATAAATAGAGAAAAAGCTATATATCTAGTCTCTTTGATGCCCCAGGTTAGCCAGCTTAAGAGCGATCTCCTTGGTAGACCAATCACATTGGAAGAAGTACAATGCGCGATAGATGAATTACCAAATTCAAAAACACCAGGGCCCGATGGACTCCCAGCAGAGTTTTATAAAGAATACAAGGACCTCCTAAGCCCGTTTTTACATAAAGTATTTCTGGAAGCGTATGAGCAGGAAACACTACCACCTTCTTTTTATAAGAGCCATACAGTTTTAATCCCAAAAAGTAAAGAGGCAGATAAACTCCTAAATGTTGAAGGGTACCGCCCTATTACACTCTGCAATGTGGACTACAAAATCTTTGCAAAAATTCTGACAAAACGACTTCAATACATCACATCCAGCGTTGTTGGAAATCACCAGACTTGTGGAATTAAGGGCAGAACGATGCAGAGAAACATACACGTAGCTCGTACAATAATAGAGAGCTGTTGTGCTCATGCAGATCAAGTGGCTATGGTTCAAGTGGATTTAGCAAAAGCTTTTGATCGCGTCTCCCATATTTTTCTATTCGACATACTCCGCCACGTAAACTTAGGACCAACACTTTTTAAAGGAATAAAGATATGCTACCGCAATTGTACCACTAGGCTTATAGTTAATGGCTCTTTGTCAGGTCCAATTCGCCTAGAGTCATCTGTCAAACAGGGATGCCCCTTGTCCCCCCTTTTGTTTGCACTATACTTAGAGCCCCTATGTTTAAGCGTACTAAATAGCCCTACTGTAGAAGGATACCGTTTCTACTCCACAGAGGTAAAAGTGTTGGCATATGCGGATGACATTGCGTTCTTCTGTAAGGACAAACGAAGCGTAGACAATGTGTTCGCTTTAGCTCAAAACTTCTGTTCCACGACTGGGGCGCTCATCAACAAGGCAAAGTGTACAGGCTTCTGGTGCGGGCAATGGGCCACAACACCTTCAAAGTACGCTGGCATTTCATGGAGCTGCATTGCCCCTCAGTACCTAGGAGCTCCCCTTAATTGCGTTAGGAATAATGGACATTATTGGACAGAAAGGGTTGAAAAGATGAAAACTCAAGCGGCAATAATGAAAGTAAATCAGTGGTCTATTTTTGGACGGGCGAAAGCCTGTAATATCTTCTTAGCAGCAAAACTTTGGTACGCACTTCAGGTGATTTGCTGTACTAGAGGCCACATTCAGAAGTTTCACAGAGTGTTTGCAACTTTTGTATGGGGTTCCACTTGGGAACCCATGAGACGAGATAACCTGTTTCGTTCCGTTGAGCAAGGCGGTCTCGGGCTTTTACACGTCTTTTTAAAACAAATTATATCACGCTTCTTGTTCTTCAGAACTGTGTCTCATGACTTCCTTCGAACTTACATGCAGGCAGAGCTTTCAAGCGCGTTGCCGTATTTGGTAGTAACAACAGTGCCTGCGAGCACATCTCGTCCATTGGGATACCTCGGAGAGGTTGTGAGCTCAATAGAGTTCCTTGAAGCACGTTTTTCCTTGGAATATTTATTTAAAGTGTCGCGGAAAGCTTTATATGTTGATCTCATCGATGCATTATTTCCTATACCCCTGTACCGAAGTATGTTCAGTAGTGGCCCGGGACAAGACGTCCTGAAACGTGTGTGTAAGCTACATGTCTCACCGACAGCGAAGTCATTCTTTTATAAGCTCCACACTTCAACGTTGCCGGTAAAGCCTTGGCTTCGCGAAAAAGGTATATTTGTTCCTTGGTCAGTGAACTGCCGTTTGTGCAACCAGCCTGAAACAATAGAACATTGCTTTATTTTTTGCACCGACGCCTATTTGTTTTGGGATGTCCTACAAAGGACATTGAAGAAAGATTTGAATATCTGTGCATATACGATACGTTTTTTGCCTTTAAACCAAAATGATATTTTTCCTTATGACCTGTTCACATTGATGGGTCTGCATAGCCTTTGGAAAACAAGGATGATTGATAGAAATGCTGATCCTCCACGGTCTACAAAGTCCAGTTTCATAGAAACTGTGTCACATGTACGTAATGTGTACGACCACCTCAAGAAACGTCCAGAATGGTATACCCTTCTTGACAAATGTGTTCATCTTCCCGACTTTTAGCGATGTGACCCCATTCGAAATATGTTACCATAGCCCTCTTTCTTCGTATTTCCATGTGACCATTATCAGTCAGTTCGAATGTAAATAAGGGATAGCTCTGTTAGAATGTGTCTTGATTGTTTTTACTGTCCTTTTTCCATGTAATAAATACAAAAAAAAAAGGATCGGTGGCCGAGTGGTCTAGCGCACACCAGCTCGGAGCACGTGGAGCGAAAGCTCGCGCTGCAGAACCCAGGGACCCTGGGTTGGAGCCCCACCCCTGCCCGTTTCGATCTGGATGAGCATCGTGCCGGCGTGCGGTCGTGTATCACTACTGCGTGATGCACGTTAAAGACCCCAGGCTAGCGGTTATACCGCACTGGCTAAATTTCTCATCTACAGCTGGGAGACTCGTCGCCCCTCTGAGGCAGACCAAGTTCTAGGCTGTATAAACACACACACAACCCAATTTTTTAGACGGCAGCAGTCAGTCAAAGTTGCTACTTGATGCAACTGAACGCCAACGTGCCAGGAGCGTCTGCCGACAACAAAGAGCACAGTTACTTTGACTGAACATCTGACATAATACTGTAGCAGAAAGAACTTGTGATGGAACCCTTTGGTAAGAATCAGTGATTATGTAATCAAGAGGGAATAAACATATTTGATATACTAACCAAGTACGCATCATACTCACACTCCAGCCTTCACGTCTTCAGAGTCAACACATCGATAATTGTGTTCACTGTATGGGGTGGATCGTTTGAGGACACTTGCATCTCTAACGCCCCATTAATAAGTGGGACAAACCCAACTAGAAGACTTGTTGCAAAGGGCTGCAGCATGTGGTGAATCGAAAAACAAACTCCAGTGATGTGAATGTTATTTATTCATGTATTCCCTCCAAGGGCCTTTGTAGGCATTGCAAAGAGTATATTTAAAACTACACACACATGATATAACATCATAGCACACGGACATCAATGGGCACGAAAGGGGCCTTAGCTACAGAAAACAAATATTAAACTCGCAAGAAATAATTATGTTTGTAACTTGTTAATTAGAAAGACGAACACGCCTCTGTGCATCTAAGTTTAATAGTATGTGTTGATAAATTGTTACGTCGAGGACACTTTATATACGTCACTTAAGCAAACGCCAGCTTTTGACTTGAAAAACAAACAAAAAGACACTGCGATCAAATGCAAGCTATTGCAACGAAAGCACGTTATATAAAATTTTCAGAATTGCGATTCTTAAAATTGTCTATTGGCACAAAAGGTTAAAGATCGCAGGAGCTTCCTCGCTAGCAGTTGGTGTGATTATTCGGGTACCCAGGACTGAAACAACTTCCCCCAGGCCCTAGACGCGACGTATAGCGTTCCTTTTATTCTAATGGTGAATTCCACTCGTAGATCTGGAGCGCTTTCCCAAATCCGCGAGGGAGGCGAAATTCCGCTCCGTGGGACCCGCTCCGAATCGACGAGGGGAAGATAAACTTGCATTTTTGGAGCGACCTCCCCCACACCCCTCCCCACCCCTTCCCCCTCCGCCGTACAAAATGGCCGCTGCTCGAACTTGACCAGCCCACCAACGCCTCAGCCGGCTGATCTTTCCGACGACCAGTGACGACTGTCACTGCTTAGCTGCAGAAGTAACACGCGACACAGGCCGGGCGAAATTATACGTACCACGGCGCCCATGTAACAAATAACGAAGACGTCCGCGTTCGGCACCGTCACATACCTTTCGGCCGCCTCGAAGCGGCGGGGCACGGACAGCGATTGCCAGCGGTGGAGTTCAGATTTCTAGTACGACTTTAATAAACACGGAGGTAACAAACCATCACTTGCGCGGTCGTTGCCTAACCACTTCTTGCTTTATTTCACGGGAAAACGCCGACGGAATGCAGTGTAAAAAGGTAAACAATCACTGGCTGCAGAATGAATAGGCCTAACCTTGCGTCTGCCTCCGGCTTTTCTGTCGTTCCTTTTTCTCGTTCTTCCTCTCACGATCACAGATGCCAGCGCTTACGATTTGCCACGCTCCACATTCCCGGCTTTTTATCCCTGATCTACGCGAGGTAGAAGCGTTCAAGCCGTCACAATCCAGGGTAAACAACCGACGCACCCGAACAGATCCAACTCCACGACCCGACCGTGGCCCGACCGGCCCACCGGGCCCGCCGATCTCTCCAACCTCGCCGCGCATGCGCACCGCCGATTTAGAGGGAAATCACGTGGGCCGCTCTGTCAACTTCTAGAGAGATCTGTGAAATCCCGCAGAGCAAGTTCGGCGGAGTTTGGGGCGCTCCGTGGCGCGGGCGCTGCCAGAGATCTACGAGCGGAAGATGACCAACTTGAGCCAGATCTGCGAGCGTAATATGCGCGCTCCAAATGGAGCGCTTTTGGAGCGCTCAAGATCTACGAGCGGAATTCACCACAAGACATTCCAACGTTAAGAGGAAACTAGAAAAATACAAAAATGTTATCCTAAAAGCTATAACGTAAAATCGTTGATTAGCACAATATGTAAAGATCGCAGGAGCATCCTCGCTAAAATTTGCTGTGATTATGCGGCTACCCATGTGGCTGAAACAACCTCCCCAAGGCCCTACACTGTTAGCAAGTCTCGTGTATTTGGCGAATATTTGGGGTGAAAAACACGCTATTTACACAAATTACCATAAATTTACACGATGAGTAACGGATAATTCGTTCAGAAATCGTGCGAGGTTGTAAAAAACGTGCTTTGGTTCGGTCATACACGCATAACCGTGTAGCCGACCTCGATAACACGCATCGCCCCCGGCGACGACCGCGGCATTGCCGGCTATCGAAGCACCGGAATGCTTGGGGACACACTGAGAAAGGACCGTCGAGACAGATGCCGCGGAAAGAAACATGTCTCGGAGACAGATATGCACCAAAAGCAATTGCGCCATGTCGCAGGACGTTGGCAAAACCCGCGCTTACCGTCAGGGGGGTAAAGGTGGGTGAGGAGGAGTGGCAAATCCCGTGCGCCGACACCCGGGGTCCCGAGTGAACGATCGCGAAAGAGAGCGACAGAACACGAGAAAGAAAGCAGCGTTGCCATGGTAAACGCGAAGAGTGTAAACTCTCAGCAATATAAACAGTGATAATTTAACGTTGTAAACTAAATTCTGAGCTATTCTAACGCTTATAAAAAGCAATAAAGTCATTACGCTGCATTAACTTCCCTTCTGTCGAAATCTCGGAAATCTGGTGGTTGCGCAGTTTCGTATTCCGCAACGGTGCCCGGCCGCGCCTCACCGGCGAAGCCGGGTATTAATGGTTTAGTTTAGCGTTAACGCGAGGCCGTACATCTGCGCGCTATGCAAAAAGAAAGCTTCGAAAGGAACGCGAATATCTTTCCACCGGTAAGTTCGTGGATTGTTGAAGTTCACGAAACTGCTCTGATGATGTAACCGTGTTTGGGACCCCGAAGGTCTGCCTGCCTGCATGATCCGCCGCTTGCGGCAGCCAGAATGTATGGGAAAATGGCGGACCTTTTCCTCTAGAGTTAGTATGTATGATCTCTATGCTTACCGTGCTCGCCGCCATTTTCTGGTCGATGGCAATGCGGCTTCCCTCATGTCGCCCGTGTTTGTATTTAGTTTAGGGGTCCTGATAACAGTTTCTTAGACACCACAAATAAAGTCATGGGTCTAATTATTCGTTCCAAACAGTTAAAATAGATATAAAAAGCGTGTCCTCGATGTGAACACGTGACATTGCAGTTGGTTTCGTTTTTGCTTCAACCTTCAACTGCAAGCGATCTGGCCACGGCGCAAGCGCAACGCCTATGTACGCTGGAAGCAAGCGCCGGTTGGCTTTCGTTGTTTTTGCTTGACCGGAGAAAATCTGGCAAGTACGCATGGCGCCGCTACTGTTTTGGTTTGACGGGACGCGAGAAGCTTCGCATAGAGCTTCGGAGTTTGCGAGCACATAGTGAAGACGTGACCGGAGAAGTGCCCCTGTGATGTTCCTGGAAGACGGAAAGTAGCATTCGTAATCGTCGTGTGTGCTTTGAAAGCGAAGGGAGTCACAGGGTCCACGAGTTCGCAACCACAAGCCAAGGTTCACGACAGCGCGGCGTTGACTTCGGCGATCTCGTTCTGTTTGGTGCAACCCGGCGATGCCAAAAAGAGCTGAAACATTCGTCGTGTGTGGTGCGGTGCTTTGTATTCCGGGTCTGTTTGAACCACGCTTTTAACACGGAGCGCAAATTGTTTGTTGCGTGGTGGAGGTTCAACGGGTACAGTCCCGTCGTCGTCAGCTGATCCGGTCCACCTGGTCCGGGAGGACGCAGCGAGCGTTTTTAAAAGTAAATCTTCCTTCGTTCCGTTTCAAACTGTGGAAGTATCCCGACACATACCGTGAGTAAGAAGCAGCGGGCGTTTTCAACAAAATTACGTTGTTTTAATTGAATAATGGACTCCGGATTGTTGTCTTAAATCTGCCGTTTTTTATGCTTCGTGTTGGACTGCGTTTGCATAGCGACGCACACCGCTCGAGTAGATGATTCGGTCCTGCAACGAGTTTGTTGCGCCAATCATGCGGCGTGAATAAATTAGGGCAAGGTTTCCTACCTGCCCACAGATGCATGTACTGAGACCATTTTTTATGTTGTGAACGTAGTGCTCTTTCTTTATTTTGGAAGACGCGTTGGTGCATTTATTATGGTACAATCACTTGAGAGTTGAGAAATTGGAGAGCGAGCAAGCTTTCTCAACTTTGTCTCTTTCTCTCTGGCACTGCCCTGTTTCAGTTTCAGTAGGCATATCTACTCGCAGGCACACACTGCTCTAAAGCAGGTAAAAAACGGGAAGCTTAGGACGGTGCGGACTCCGTGTTTCGCGCTTTTGGCAAGGTGACTGGGTAAATGCTTTTGTGAGATACGCGGAATATGCAAGCGATTTTGTTATGCCCGTCGTTTGCGTCTCGCCAGCAAAACGAATAAGATGATCTACTACAAAGGCGCAATCACAAGCCAAGATT